TGCGTAGGCATAGTCAAGTTTTATCATTTTTCTACAATTACTAGAGCACCGTCGTCGTACAGCAAGTTCAGCTTCAGTGTAATGGACAAAAAGCCGATTTTCTATTCCGTTCGAAAAACAGCAAGAGTACGTGGTAATGTAGGCATGTCCTTGGAACAATTTGAGCCATTTCCAACCAATACCAACCTACGTGCAAGAATTTTCAAGTCAATAACTTCGAGTCAAGATTTGATGCTGATCAAGAATATATGTACTGTACTGTAAGGTCACTGAGGCTTTCTTCTGAGCGTTGCAAACTTTTTGACGTAATGAATATAAAATGTGGGCCATGTTACAACAAAGCCATAATGTGGACCGTGTTGTATCGAAACCATGCCTCACAAGTAGCATATTAAGCGGGAAACGCGTGTAAAGCATAAGCAATAGTTTCTTTACTCTTTCACTCTGCTTTGCCGTTAAGCCACGTATACATTAATTTGGTAAACTTTGCCCCGCTACGCATCGTAAATTCCTTGTCGAAGCAATTATTTTGAATCCAATTTAAGTATCTCTCAATAATGTTCTCTTTACTACAAGTGTTTTTTTTTTTTTGCATTTTGCTAAATTAAACCTAACGTAAAAGCAACTTTGCAAGTGCTTTCCCCTATATATAACTACTATTAGTCATTAAAAGAGTTGATATTCTACGCAAAAAACTCAATACACTTGTAAGTAGCTTATGTGATTTTTTTTTTATTTTTTTATTTTTTTTATTATTTACTTTTTTGCTGTACAGAATTTAAGATACAATATGACCAAGCAAGCAACAAAAACAATCCAGTTACAACTACGATAATCAGCTTTGCATAAAGTAACTGTAGAATGTTTATTACGAAGGACAAAAAAAGCAAAGCATTTTCAAAAAAAATTTTTAATTATTTATATTTAAAAGCATCGAAATAATTTTTAATGCAATTACCGTAGCATTTAAGGGAATAAAATGTAATTTGGGCTAGAAAAGTACGATTTTAAGTGCTCTTCGGCAAAGTTTTTCGGTCTTCTGAAGTGGCCTTTAGCTCATAAAAGAAAAATTACCCAACAACAACAACGACGCTAAATCAATATATTTGCTTACAACTTTATCGATGTAAATTTCGATAACAATTAAATAAACAAAGTAAGAAAAGTAAGCAATTAAATGTTTTTCTGCTTTAAAGGCAAAGTGTTTATAGCCCTTAACGTCCAAAAAAGTATCTACCTCGATCTCTTGGATCTACGTAGCGGTTACAGGCCAAGAGAATGTATGAACAAAATTATGACAGTTTTGTGTTCCCTTTCGCTGCCTAAGGTTGGTACCGACAAACTGCGCTGTAACTATAGTTCACTTACATTCGTAATACATCTTCTGGATACTTTGTGGGGGAAGGCATCTAGCTACTTTGGTCTGCTTAAAGGCGCATAAGAACTATCCGATGGAAAGCGTCTATTGGATTTTCTTCTCCCGTGGGTCACTCTATAAGAGAATACTTTTTAAAATTTAAAAAAAAAAAAAAACAAATCAACTTATCACATTAAATTAAACTCCATTTTGAAGCTTAGCTAGGGTGCGACCAAAATTTCGTTCAAATAATTTCCACGGTCTTGAATACACTGACACAGACGAAGGCTGCACTTGTTAATCACGCTGTCCGTTTGTCACGATTATTTGCGTTAACTCCACGATAAGCTAACGAATGTTCGGTCAGCATAGGCCTGGGCTCTGTTACATGCTCAGGGAGGAAAACCTATGTATTTTATATCCACCGATTGCGACAGCCATTTCACAAATTGAAGCCGTCTTCTTCTTTTTTTTTTGTAGTAGGATCAATCACTCCGCGGATGTCTGTTATGCACGTAACGTGGCGAACGCCACACAAACGAGAAAAAAGGAAAGAAATAAGGAGGTTGTGGCCCCAGCGTAGTGGATTTGAGCCCAATCGATAAATGTTATACGTTTAGCAGCCGAACACTCACTATAGCTGCTACCAAAATAAACTCTACCGAACTGAAATTTGAACTCGCGAATATATACCTTGGTCGCGCTTCTTACTTGCTTGGCTACTCAAGCCTCTTGAGATCATTCCGTCGCCACACTATTTCCACCATCTTGTTGGAACCACATGTCGTCAATTCGATGATCTCAAGTTGTGGCTTTTAAAAAGTATTCTATTCGCCAGCAGCGAACCAACGACGAAGCCCAGCTCTTTTTTTCAGAAGAATATATTCTCTCAACTGTAATCGCAGTTTTTTCCTTAGCACTGTTAGTGGCATACTGGGCAAATAGCGTAAAAAGAGATTAAAGATTTATTGGTGATTAATAAAAATCCAACTGCAGGTTAACTTTCAAGTATTTTCGTGAGCGTAGCATCGTTTTTATAATCTTTGCATACATTCGTATATATTTAACGTTTAGTTAATGCATATATGTTGACAGGAAGCTTTAAACCACATCATGTAAACTTAGCCCGTACACCGACGTACGCCCTTGTTTGCAAGTAAGAATCATGGACAGAACGTAAAGTATACAGATATATTTCATTCGAAAAGAGTTCTACAAATTCTTTTTATATAAGACTAAGCCAGTCAGAAATAATTGTTTGGCTTAGTTAAATTAATTTCGATATCTTTGGTAAAGAAAAAATTGCTTTATAGAGTGGATGTTACCAAACACAATATCTAGAGTAGTCCTTGGATTAAAGAATGCAATTTGTTCTTTTTCTACGCTAATGAATACATAAGTACACGTGTGTGTATGTTTAAGTGTAGGAAAAAAAAAAAAAAAAAAAAAATATCTTTCGTTTTTCTTTATCCATTTGCTATAATACACATACGTATAATTTAAATTTAACTAACAAACAAGTAAAAACTCTTAAATCATCATCAAACGTAAGGCGAAAGGATAAAGTTTTATCTCATTTCTTTGTTTTGATTCGCTTTTATGTCCTTCGTTAGTCCATCTTGAAAAACATAAGAGCAAAAAAATTTTTTGAATGTTTTTTAAGAATTTTTTTTTTTTTCACGGTACATTCATCAAAATGTTGTTTGTTTATGTATTCACTCACACTTCCAAACGAAGAAATACGCACATTGACACACAGCACATATACTTAGTGCAGATGCCACAATCTAGCTTCTGTTTTCAATGAAATTTGCAGAAAAGTCAATTAAAGTTTGTTGCAATACACTTAAACTGGACAAATAGTTGCAATAACAAAAAAAAAAAAAAAAAGAAAAAAAAAAGGAAAAGGAAATGGAAAAATAACGAGCAAAAGAAAGAGTCAATTTAAGACAAGCTGTTAAAAGTTGAATATTCCATAAACTCGAAACTATCCATAAAACGAAATACCCTTTTGGTTAGGGGCGTGGCTGTCAACCAATTTTTTACGGCTTTTAAATCAATAACGTAAAAATGACTTATTTGTGAACCATTGTCTCGTAATTCCGCAAAGATACGCGATTAAAATTCCCCTTCATGTACATAGTTATTTGGTTTAATCGCGTTCGTCCGCGTGTGCATCGTCAAAAATTGATATTTAACTCGATTCAATTATGTTTGTTCATTTGTCCATCGACAAACGTTGATATTTAACTTGATTTTTTAGCTCCGCCTGTCCACCGTCACATAACTGAATTGGAAGGCACTTCGACGGCTAAGCTTCAAATTGTGGAAAAAATAAAAAATATTTATTAACGATCTCAAGATTTTTAAATGCTTCAACCTCTTTAATAACTGCGCTTAGATTGCTATCCAAATCTTTAATGGAAAAAGCGACCTTCTATTCCTTTGGAATTGTGTCTTCTTCTCGGAGGCTCAAAGGTTTTATTTACATCCTCTATATCATTTTCTAGCTTTACCTGGCTACCTAAAAACTTATTAGAGTTCAAAGAATGCTTAGCGACAACAAATACTGGTAAAATTAAAATATAAAAAACATTTTTGGGGACGCTCATCGTGCAAATAAGAAATTTAGATGCAAGACGTTACCAAAATGTCGTACAAATGACTATATTTGTCTAGCGTCTTCTACTTTACAAACGTACCAAATACCAAGAAAGAGTTATATGTGGTTCTTGTTGAAAATGCGTTTCACTTATCGAAAAGTAGGAAGCTTTTAAGGAGAGGTCACAATCAACATTTGATCACAAGTGAAATGACGTGAAATCCTCCAATTTGTGTTATAGAATAGTTTGTTAACCAACTAATAACTCTAGGTAGCCATTGCTCTGACTAATTGTAATTATTTTTAGTAGAAATAAATATTATAAATAAAGAGAAAGAAAGAATAGCTGATATTTTGTTAGGGTGCTTGTTGCCTATAATTCTATGCGTTACTAACTGATTATCAGCTTTAATTTTCCTCTTTAGCAGATACAAAAAAACAAGAAAAAAACAAGAAAAAAAATAAAAGTTAAAAAAAAAAAAAGAAAGAAAGAAATAAATGTTTACCAGGTAGATTAAAGGAATATTGAAAACGAAGAACAGCAAAACAAAAGTTAAATAATTCGTAAAACTAAGAGATAGAAGATGAGAAAAATTACTTGAAATTATTCTCTCAACAAATTCGTACAAATATCAGATGGATAACTTGGCAACTTGGATTTAATGATAAAAATTTTCACTGGTTGTATCTATCTCTTTCATCGTTTCTTCCTGGTAACTATTTATTGCACTTTTCTTGTCTTTAATCAAGAACAATATAGGGTTCGTAATACGGTTTGTAATGGGACCCCTATGTGTTAAAGTAATTATGTAAAAAAAAAAAAAAAGAAAAAAAACCTTTTCCGATAAAAATAAATTTACTTATATGAGAGAGCGTACATAATTTATATACACGTGTAGGTGTGCTTGTGTGTGCAAGTATAACCGGATATACAGTTAATATATTATTCACTCTCAATACATTATTATTATTATATAAAAATGTATTTTTTTTTTTCTCTCTCTCTTTTTTGTTGTGTTTTTATTGCGTTTGTCAACTCAGGAAGCGGAAACCGCCATCACAGCTATGAATGGGCAATGGTTAGGTTCACGTTCGATACGAACAAATTGGGCTACAAGAAAACCGCCAAACTCCAAACCAGACAGTAAGTTGTGCTTATAATCAGAAATGCATTCTGATTGCTTTGTTAAATAAATGCTTCTTCTCTTTGATCTCTTAAGAACAAATGCAAATTTCTTATATAATGTATTTGTCTGTTGTTGTTTTCCGTTTTCTTTTCTTCATACAGTTAATGCCAAACCGTTATCATTCGATGAGGTCTATAATCAAAGCAGTCCATCTAATTGCACCGTTTATTGTGGCGGCATGAATGGCACTCTAGCGGGTTTTCTTAGCGAAGAAATGTTACAAAAAACATTTGCACCATTTGGTCCAATACAGGAAATACGGGTATTCAAGGATAAAGGATATGCATTTGTTAGGTGCGTACAAATTTAACAACAACAAACAGGTATTCAATCATATTCGCCTTAGAACAAAGCATTTCTTGATAGTCGTCATCGTAAGCAAAAAACGAATCACAATATTTTGTGATATTTTTTACACAATTAAGTCCTTGCTTGCCTATAACTCTATCACTTCTGCGCCTACACTCGATCAAATTACAATTGATGTTAAGCTAAAATCACCAGCTACTGCCCTAAATAAAATGAAAAGAAATTCTCTACACATGCAGCTTAGTGGAAGTATGTATATTTGCCATAAAATTCGCAAGAATTTGATATTGACACTAAGAAGTCATTTAATATTTTAATGTGAACTCAAAGCATCCTACACGCAAAGGATAAATCGAAAGACTTCATAGAATGATATTAACAATCAAATGACGCATCGGAGCTTCCAATGACGTAAAGTGGCGAATTTCTTGGAATCTAAAAGCTCTTCGTTCATGTCGGAATTAGTCAGAGAATAAATTATAACTTTCAACAGTTTATTTGGATTCATTAACACCGCGAAAAGACTAGTAGAACTTTAGAGTAACTGATAGTAAAGTAATAAGCTGAACTTAGAGCAAGCCAGAATACTGCTGAGTTAAATATGATTGAGAAAATTTCTTAACGAAAACAACTAGGAGACCATCAGAGCTATTGAGCTATTGAGTAACCAACAACTCTAAGCATTTAGTTAAACGTAAATATTTAGAAAACAATGAAACTAAAGCGAATACTAAAAAAAATGGTGTTAAAAAAGGAAAACTGATAGATGAGTGTGGGCAATACTAAAGCAAAATAAAATATAATCAAAAAGAATATTGGAAAGTGTGATGAAACGGGTAGCTCAACTTTAGCGTAATTACTGTTGAGTTAAATTCAATTGAGAAACATTTTCAAGTTAATGAGATTAAAAAGGCACAATAGCATTATTACGTGGTCTAATTATTGAATACCCTACAGCACCTCGCCTCACAATATTCTGCACTTATCTTTCCCTGTAATGGGATTCCTTCCACATTCTTTATATCACAATAATCTTGTATTGGACAAATTTTCTTTGTTTAATACTAAATACTATGCCTTGTTGCAAGTTAAGGACTAATTTTTTGTAGAAATTAGATAAGAAGAGCGCCTATCAAGTCATCGAACTCGTATTCAATTCAAAGCGACCGATTATGGTTTTATTACGACTGAAATGTAACCGCAGCTCGGTAAAGGCGTAGAACTGATTGATCGTCCATACCATTCTTAGGCTTCACGAAACCTATTCCTCCGTTTCCCTAACCAATACACGGATACCATGCATGTACCTGCACAGAGGACTTCTTATAAAAAAAGGAGAGAGTTTTTAAAAGCGTTCCATCCCATCCAAGTTCTTCCTTCCTCCATCACTTCGGAGGTCAAAATGACGTTTTCTCTTAGGAAGTAATAAAAATGGAAAAGATTTTCTTTTCTCACAAAAAAAGATCACATTCAAGTAGAGAGTGAACGTAAAAGTAATGCATTGCAATTGATTCTGTCTTTCTTAATGAATATTTCTTATGGATCGGAAAATCGTCACTCTATTACAACCAACGCGGATCATGCGATATTCAAACTCAACGCGAAATCTGTTATTTGTCTGCAGAAATTACGATCTTCTTGCGGATTGTACTAAAACAAACAAAGAGAGTCGCTTTCATTCAACTCACTTTTCGTCACTTTGATTCAACTCACTTTTCGTCACTTTTATCATTGATTTTAATGATGGGACGGGTTTAATTATATTCACAGTACATAAATTACAAATTAAAGGGCGCAAAGGTGACGGTGATTATCGCGATGCTCTGACTTGTTTAATATTACATCAAAAAAGTAATTCGCAGGCTTGCTCGGTCGCATAAAATTCAATTCAATTGAATGCGTCAATTTAACACTAATATTGTTTTTTAATCTATTTTTTATAGGAATGTTTTGCTTTCATTGTTCTCGTGCGCTTAAAAAAGAATTCAATAAAATAAAATGAAATTCAATTAAACGGGAAAATATGTTATTTCTCGTTTCATTGCATAGTTGTTGCATTTTTATTTTTTACTTTTTATATTTTATTTTTTTAATGTTAAAACAATTACAGATTTTCAACCAAGGAAGCTGCAACACATGCCATTGTTGCATTGCACAATACCGAGATTAATCAACAATTGGTGAAATGTGCGTGGGGCAAAGAAAGTGGTGAACCATTGCATATGTCCGCCATCGCAAGTCAAGCGTTTGGACAGGGATTTCCGTTTGGTTCAGCAGCAGCTGCAGCCGCTGCTGCTGCGGCAGCTGCCTATGGTCAGCAAGTGGCCGGATATTGGTATCCACCCACAGCTACATATCCAGCGGCAGCACCAACGGCAACTACACTGCAACCTGGTCAATATCTACAAGGCATGCAAGGTTTCACTGCTTTTGGCCAATTCGGTGGATACCAGCAAGGATACATGGGGTAAGCGCTATTTATGCGGAACATTCTTAATACAAAAAAAAAAAAAATTTTTTTTTGAAATACTTGAATATTCCCGAATATTAATAAACAAAAAACAAAAAAAAATATTTCTTTCTATCAATGTTTTTCATTATTATTTATGTTTATTGCAATATTTTTCTCGTTATGATGCTGGACTTGAATCGTTAGTATGGGAGTACAATTGCCGGCCGCTTGGCAAAGTGTAGCACCGCAAGCACCAATGACCAGCACAACGGCACCGCAAATAACTCAAGGTGTAAACAATGCTTTGCCTCAAACAGCAGGCGTAGTAGCGTATCCCATGCAACAATTTCAAGTTAGTCCACAGGTGCGTTTTTTATTTATAAAAAGTTCGCCAGAAAAAATATATACTCTCTCTCTCTCTCTCTCTCTCTTTCCCATTTTTCCGATTGCACAACATTGCTCTTGGGAGAGAGAGAAGAAATGCGAAGATTTCCTACTTTCCAAATTAAATATTCTCTCAGTTATACACACTTGTTTATAATTAGTGTGACGTTATAATTAACTTTTACTATGTGGAAATAAATTAAAATTTTACGTTTTCTTTACACATTTTCGTCTTTTTTTTTTTTTGTTTTTTTTTTTTTTTGTTTTTGTAACAGTTAGCTGAAGATGAATGGTTAGCACCCAGTTTATTAGTGTAGCTTCCATGATGGCTTCCTTTAACCGCAGAAACAGCAGCAAATGCAAGTACTCTAACGCGATCTAGCGCAGTTCAATCATGTGCATGCTCGAAAGCTATGATAACTCCCACAATGATTACAATGCCTTTGCTTGTGCAATCTACTTCGTCTTCGTCCATGCCAACAGCACTATCGTCGGGCTATACGCCGTCGGCATTGTCAACGTTTATACCACAATTGCAACATTGGACCCAACATTATCAGCATCAGCTGCAGGTAAAACACAACGATTATGCTTCAACTGATATGTACAAAGAGCAGCAATAGTAATAACTTCCTCTTTTGTTCCAATGATTGTCTTTTTCTTTTCAATTTGAATACACACACACACACACGCACACACGCACACACACACACGTGCATCGTATATATTTTTGTAAAATATACAAAAAAAAAAAAAAAAAAAAAGAAATAAGAAAAAACAAATTATTGAAAAAATATTTAAGGATATATCGTGTGAGAATGTAGTAGTTGTGTATGATTTCGTAGAAAAACTAAACCAAAATTATATTTTACAAGAAAAGAAATATCGCGCAATATAGTTGTCAAAGAGAAATACACACACACAAATAAATATGTATGTATATCATGCTTGCGCTCACTAAATATGAAACGCACACATCCACATACATACACATACACGCACACGCACACAAACTCACAATCATATACACACGCCCACTCAGATTTCATTGTTTAGACATCACACATACAATTTAGCAAAAATTATAGCAAATCATTTATTAGAGAGATAAGACATATGCAACAAAGATAAATATGAAAAAAAAAAAAAATAACAAAATAAATAACAAAAGAAAAAATCAGATTAGAAATGAAATTTAATCTGTATACGCACAACATGAGAATAATTGTATGTATGTACGTATATATATACATATTTATTATGTATGGAATTTTTAAAATATTTTCAAAAGATATTTAGTTACTTTTTTTTATTTCTCATCTCAACAATAAAATGAATTTTGAATTTTATGGAAGACCATGCATGCATGCATGTACTTATTCCCACCAAGGACATTAATGAGATTTTACGCATTTATTTTCGTTAAACTTGGAAACAATTGCTTAAAATATTAGGCGAAAATCGTTTCAATTGTTTATTTGTAATATTTCTTTTTTTATTTTTTATAATTAATATATTTATTTAACAAGTGAAAAAACCCTATAGTGGGACACGACCCACCATTAATTCTCCTACACAACTCTATATAGTTATTTATGATGGTCAAAGCATGTCGCTGTAGCAAATTTCATCAAAATATCTCATATCGGCCCGTAAATTGAAAATAAAAAAAGAAGAGTGACAGACGGACAGACGGACGAACAAGCTTAATTCGATTCGGAATCACTTTTTTATCATTATTATAACGAAAGGTGGGTCCATCTCAAGTCTTCCTGGAAGTACCACAGAACCGCAAAAACGTGTAACGCAAGTGACGTACGGTATAAAAATTACACAACAACTAAGCAGAACTCATTCTACAGAATAACCAAACATTGTGAGTAAACGACAGCTATCGAAAGCTTTAGAAGCAATGTTTTGTATACTCATTTATGAAAAAGGCTTGACATCATTTTTCTTTTCTTTATTGTGGCATTATTTATGTGTTTCATTAATTGCATCGTGTGCCGAAAAGGCGTAACTGCAAATTTATAAAGAATTTCGAGCCTATATATGGTTCAAGTCATATCTGTGTTAAGGCTTAAGATTTCCTTTAAGACTTCAATTTGAATGATTGATCGAACAAGGCTCAAATTAAAGCAATCAAACATGTATCATATTGGGCTGATTGAGCCCATTGCCTCATTGAATTTTCAACAAACTTTTCTAGATGACTTTGAACAATATTTATGAGAAATTTTCGACAGCTTTTCACGATAAGTAATAACAAGTCATTGACAATACTTTGAAGTTTTTATATTTTTAACGAATACATTCATATTTTATATGCACCGCTTGTGGTTCGAAATAGGTAAACCAAGAAAAGCAAGAAAAGATCCTTAACTTTCTATACCAAAGCTGACGGACGTCAAATTTCTATACATCTACCTAGGTGGACAAAGTAAAACAAATATATATATAAATATATGATGAATGCATGACGTTTAAGATTTGATGACGATCGTCTCGTCTCCTCAGAGCCTTCAGAAGTCGAAGAATCAAAGTAAGGCTTTCACTCTGAATAAATCTTTCATCTTAGAGCAGGAAAGCATTATTTAGCTATCACAAAGCGTAATACATTTTAAAATTAGCTGCACTTTATAAAGAGATTATGTTGTTTCATTGGGATGTTTCGGTGAAGCTTCTTCTTGATGTGAAGAAAATTACATGTTTTTGACAAAAATTCTTTCAAAGCTACTATTAGATTTTCAAGCGGCTAAAATATCTCAACAAAAATATTGTAAGACAAAAATATCTGTTCGATACTGACATAGGTTGATGGTATTGAGTGTAACGAACGAATAATGCGATGTTCAAATATGTGGTCGGTTGTTATAACTTATAATCGAAACTAAACGGAAAAAGTCCAGTACAAGTCTCCTGCAGCTAAATTTTCTTTAGCACATTTCCTAAATATGGGAATATAGTAATATGTTAACGAGTAAAACCATAGGAACTAGCTAAAACATATAAAAAAGCCTATTGTGGACCATCTATCAGTTACACAGTTCCCGTCTCCAAAATAAAGCGGTCGGAAAAGTGACTCGATCTGAACCATTTTTGATGGGGTACGTCCTTGGACCAAAACATTTAACCTGTACGCAAAAAAACAAGACCGACCGACGGACGGACACACGAACAATGAAGAACGTAAATCAGACTCGGCCGGTGTAATGAAAGATGGCTCCATCTTAACTCCTTCTTACTGTTAGTAGTTAGTGACGGACAGCCAAGTCTAAATCAATTGAGAAAGTGAATCTAAACCGATCGATATAATATAAGGTGGATCATTTTGAGTCTCGTACATATCCGCACAGACTTAACAGACACACATACAGCGTAGGGTATAAAAGGGGATTATTTGACAATATTTCTGGGGAAAAAAAAGAATAATTAATAGAATAATAATAAAAACATTTTTGAAATGAAAAATACTAGAAAAATATATGCATATACCTGAGCCATTCCCGTCAGGCATCTTTGATTGACGGAGCCCTGCGCGGCGACGCCTATGTATATTTCAAGGAAAAAATTTCTTTCTAGAAGCGAATAAACAAAGAACATAGTATAAGAGAACTACAAAACCGTTCGCACTTTTAGCAAAGATGCCGTAAGCCAAAGTGTGTACCAACTCAGCGATTCACACAATTTCATTGCGAAGATTTTTCTCTTGGACGAAAAGGAAGCAACTAATTTTTTTTTTAAATATTTTCCTAAAATTGCATATATTGTTATGTTGCTGTTGTTTCCGTGTTTGCGCATGTTTCGCGTACGGTTGCATTCGAAAAACAAAAAATAATGTAACGATTGCGGAGTATGCAAAGATGAAGCTATTCCGATATGAGATTGTGTCGTAAACTGGTTAGCTTGTATCTGAGCACATAGTATCCTTATTGCGTTGATTTTAAAAATTGTTTAAAAAGTCACTCGTAAGGAAAAGGAACTGAAAGATAAATGATTAAGACAGAAATAGATAGAGAGAGTGAGAGGTAAAGGTAGAGGTAGAGATAGAGAGTAAAAGGTAGGGAAAGTAAGACCTTGCTACACGTGTGGCAGTAAATCTGTTTTAATTCGAATCGCGCTTTCAATTTTTATTTAGTTCGAAATGCAATATTATAACACATAAACACACACGCACGCACACGCGCACGCGCACGTACACTAGACACAGAATATTTTTTTAATTCGAGCTTAACTACCAACAGAATTTCAACTCATTGAAGGAGGCTTAACATTTCTCACTGTTACTTACTGGTTATTATATGCGAAATAATTAAAAAATATTCGTATTTTATATTATATGTATATATATACATTTATACGTGCATACCGTTCTTTCGAAACACTTTTGCTCGAAACTATCGGCTGTTATAACTAAGAATATAGACAACAACACAACTTATAAAAATCTTTAGTGTACATTGATGAAACGATCTAAGTGAACTGCAAAACAATGAAAAACAAAACAAAAGGTTCATGCAAAACTAATTAAATTATAGAAATCTGTAATATTATGAATGTTGTAAAGAAAAAAAAAAAAAAAAAAAAAAAAAACAAAAAGAAGAAGAAGAAGAAGAAAAAAGACAAACAAGGATGAAAATGAAAATTTTGCTTAAATGATATAAATGATCTAATATCTGTTGTATATGCCTTAAGTTAATTTTAAAATTTCAATAGAATTAAAAACAATGTGAGAAAGGAAAATAAAAGATTTAACTAAAACAAAATTTGTTATTGTACTTACGTACTTATGTATAAGTTGATGATTGTTACAAATATTGAATATTGATTTAATTAAAATGGAAACAAAAAAAAAAAAAAACCTTCTAAAGATCAGAGAAAACAGAAAAAAGCAAATAAGAAATTTATATTCGCTTGCCGGGCGAATTCATGATATCCACCACTTCAAGCTAAATGTGTTTGAGTTGCGAGAAGGAGCAGGATTCTAAACTCAACTTCCTTTTCACTGCCCTTCTCTTTGTCTCTCTTCCCGGCCAACCATATCTCTTTCACTCTCTTTCACTTCTCTCTCTCTCTTTCTCTCGCTTTCACTCTCGTTCTTTTTCGTTCTCTCATTTTCAGCTTGTTTTTTCTTAACTTTTATATCAAAATTGCTCCTTAGTGGATTCCCATTTACACACATGCGATTATCAAGTCCCAACGTGGTATAAATAGATGAGGAAGAAAAGAGGGAAAAGTTTTTAGCTACATTCGGATGGGTGGAAGTGTACCACCCGTGTCCTGACATTGTAACCGGTTACACAAGTCTTAAGAGAAGACGATATGTTTCCTTGTCGTAGTTTTGTAAATTCGTATCAGATCGACA